TCAAACAATTTCCCCCTTTTTATAAAAGTTTAATAATTTTTTTTTTGTTTTGTTTTGAGATGGAGTCTTGCTCTGTTGCCCAGGCTGGAGTGTGGAGTGCCATGGTGCAATTTCAGCTCACTGCAACCTCTGCCTCCTGGGTTCAAGTGATTCTCCTGCCTCAGCCTCCTGAGTACTTGAGATTACAGGTGCCAACCACCACGCCTGGTTAATTTTTGTATTTTTAGTAAAGGTGGGGTTTTGCCATGTTGGCCAGGCTGGTCTCAAACTCCTGACTTTGAGTGATCCGCCTGCCTTGGCCTCCCAAAGCGCTGGGATTACAGGCGTGAGACACCACGCCTGGCCTTGATTTTTTTTAAATGTAGAAAGCAGAGATGAGAAAAGGTAAGAAAGATCTCACATGGTCTCATCTTCCTCTTATCTTTCTGATGTGCTATTTTGCTTTTCTCACAGATATTAGATGACAACAACAAGCATTTTATAGCATTATTTTCCCTTTTAAAAGACAGCTAGAAGATTACAAAAAGTTAAGTATTTTTTAGCATCATTTAAAATAGAGTAAATGTGCTTATTTTGTAGATGTGCCGTAATTTAACCAATTCCCTGTTTTGGACAATTAAATTTGTTGCTAATAGTTTGATATTAAAGCAGCTCTACTCAGGAACATTGTTTGGCTAAATCTTTGCCCACATTATCAATGACTTCCTTAGTCTGCGGGGTCAGGATGTGTTCCCTTGGGTAGGTCACACCTGCCTTTCCTCTGTTCACCTCCCAGGTATGGCAGTCTGCAATGTTAGTATAAAGAGCAACTCATGGCGCCCCTGTGTGCCATCATCAACACTGCAGCTCTTGTGTGCTTCTGAAGGAGAGGATGCTATGCTTCTCTTTTAGGCCCGGTTCATTTGTTTCCACCTCTAGCTATGCAGAGATGTCCCATTTAGACATTTTCAGTTTCAGAAGCAGACTCTCAGAATGCTGGAACACGACTGGTATCATTATTGTTTTTCTGCATATTGATATTGGCAGGGTAATGTGATCTCTTTCCCTGGCATGATGCTGTAGATAGTGCTGTAGATGGATGTCCAGCTTGGGGAAGGCCCTCGTGTGAAATACAACAAAGATCTTAGTAGCTAATCTCTTTGCTCTGTCATTTCCTGGGCCTGCTATGGATCACGCATTACGTTTGGCACCTTACTGGCTTGTAAAATAAACGTAATGTTTAATGCAACCCTGTCAGGTATACACAACTTCTGATTTTATTAGAATAATGGCTTAGAGAGGTTAAGTTAGTTTTTCTCAGCTAGAGTCTAAAGCCCAGCTTTCTGATGATTTCTTGTTGCCTTTACAGGTATTTAAACTGGTCAGAGAGACAAGTTCTGCGCAAATGAAAATTCAAAAACATTGTATAAGGTGTCTCTGCCAGATAGGCTTGTGCTCTGATGAAAAGAGGGAGAAAGCGTGGGCCGTGGCAGCCAGGAGGGTGTCTAATGATTATGATGCTTGGTATGCAGCACCTTCATGGGCCAAAGGGCATTTGGTTACATAAGAGTTATTTTTTGGATAGAGGAAGTCCAGCAGGCTTGAACCTGCAGAGACAAGGGAGAGCTGAATCCTGAGTCTGAGCCCCATCTGAACTGCAAGCCAGCCGATCAAGGTGCCAGCTGTAATCCTTAGCACAACAGCAGCTGTCTATTTGGGGGATTTCCTACATTTAAGAACCCCAAGTATTTCAGCTACCGAGTGGGCTGGAAACACAAACATTGTCATGACACTTGGCAATATTTTTCATAGCTGTATATGTCAAAATTTCCTACTACCAAATCAGACAGTCTGAGGGCTAAATAATTCAGGTGGAGACTTCCCCATAGTACTCAGGGCATACTTGAGGGTCATTTTCCCAGTCTATATTTTTGTACTTTTGAACCCATACTGTGACATTTAAGGTGAACAACAGCAAGATTCTTAAGTCCCTTGTATGTGCAACGTAAACCATGGAGCAAAACCATCCCTTAAACATGGGACCAGGCAAAACATAAGGGACTCTAGACACTGCATACGTCCTTTTTCAGGGTTCATGAAAAAAAAATTGATTGGCTCCAAAATTCAAAAGGAAAACACAAAATTAAAGTGAATAAATGTTTAATGCTTCCCCAGGATAACATCGAATAGCTTTATCAGCTTTAACTCATATATCAACATCACCATGCAATTATGCAAATTGAGGACATGGTTCGGACACATGCAAGTTTCAGTGAACATAGTACAGTAGTCCCCTGGTATCCGAGGGGGATTGTTGCAGGATCATCTCATGGATACCAAAATTTACAGAGGCTCAAGTGCCTTACATAAATGGTGTGGCATTACTGTGCAGAATTAAGGATAGGCCATATAGGTGCATTTTGAAATGTCAAATTCTGTGGTGGAGACGGAGAGGGAGTGTGGCATTCAAAGGAAGGATGCTGCTGCTTGGAATTAAAGTAAAAACAATGCAGGTCTCAAAATGTCTTCATAACAACATTGAAGATTGCTTCCTAAGTAAGAGTAGACAACAGCTCCAACCCAGTAATTTAATTAATTTTTGCATTTATGAGTACCTATAAGAAATGTAGCATAACATTTAGCTGGACTGAAACTCCAAACTGGGTAAGACACCAAAGAAGATTCACAGTCCTTCCACAGTTCCTCTCCTTCCAGCATCTCTTTACGAACCTTTTTTTTAGACCGAGTCTCCCTCTTGTTACCCAGGCTGGAGTGCAAAGGCGCGATCTCGGCTCACTGCAACCTCCCGCTTCTGGGTTCAAGTGATTCTCCTGCCTCAGTCTTCTAAGTAGTTGGGATTATAGATACCTGCCACCATGCCTGGTTAATTTTTGTACTTCTGCTAGAGATGGGGGTTTTACCATGTTGGCCAGGGTGGTCTCAAACTCCTGACCTCAGGTCAGCTGCCTGCCTTGGCCTCCCAAAGTTCTGGGATTACAGACAGGCATGAGCCATTGTGCCAGACATTCTTTACTAACTTTTAACTCTAGGAATTTATTTAATTTCCCTGAGTGTCTGTCTTCTGGATTTTTGTCTGTCAAATGGAGACTAATACCCATCTTATAAGCATTGCATGATGCAATGGTGGTAAAGTACATAGCACTTTACCTGGCATGGAATATAAGTTCTATATATGATGTTTAAACTCTCTGCCACCCTACCCCCCAACAAAAACAAAAATGATACACATTTAGGTTATGAAAGAACGAGGCTGAATTCATATATCATCCCTGAAAGCCTGCCTCAAGATTTTAGAGTCTACTCCTCCTGAGGCAAAGGCAGCGGATGGAGGTGCTTACAGCTGGCAGTATCTAGCTATTTAAATTCTGGCTCCAAGCATCCACTTTCCTTTTTCTGGAAAACTATACTGACAACCCTCAGGGGTCATAAAGGAGCCCCCTTCTAATGGAAGAGAATCTCACACAAGGAAATAGTTTTGATGTGGACCCTTTGAGAGGCAGAGTAATGCAGTGCAGGAGGTTGAGAGATTTGGGGACAGCAAACCTCACGTCAAATCCTGGCTCTGACATTTTCTAGCTATGTGAACTCTGGCAAGTTTTGACTCTCTTAGAACCTTGGTTTTCTCATTTCTAATCCAAGGTTAATAACAATATCTGCTTTGTAGGGTTCTTAGGAGGATTAAATAAGAACATGTTTGTATGAACAGTGTCTGGTGTATAAGTGCTCCATAAATATTTGCTTTTTAAAAACTTTATCTATAATAGAAGTTCAAACAAACCTTTTGGGAGCCCAGCAAGATAAGCAACAAATACCTTCAGGGGAGGTGAGGAAGGTCACTACATCTGCTTGGAAGCAAAATTCTTTGAACTGGTCTTTTTCCTTCCATGAGCACATGACTAAGGAAAGGAAGCTGTATTTTTCTTGCCTGGGAATTTGAATTTGCAGCTGCACATGCCAAGGGCCTTGTAAGTTCTTTCCAGTTTGGGAAAAGGAGCAGCTAAGGGCACCCGTGGAAACACTGACTAATTGTGTGAACTTAGGCAAGTGCCCCTAACCTCACCAGAGATAAAATTCTCCTATCAGTAAAATGGGGATCATAAAATGGAGATAATCATTCTGGCTACCTGCTAGGATTGCTGTGGGGTTAGGGAAGACGATGCACGTGATACATTAGCAGAGTGCCTGGTGCCTAGTAGGCGCCCATTAAAATTTAGCTATGACTGTTCTCTTTAGCCGACACACAGGACTGCCTTGAATGTTTACATTTCCAGAGAAAGGTGCTTGGGAAGATTTCTGAGTGTTCCGCCTGCCAGGTTGTTGCTCACTTCAAGCGGTCAGTTTACAGTTCAGAGAATCCCTTTGTTCAAAGCCTGAGTAAATCCAGGCCTTGTGTATCTGCAGCAATGAAAAAAGGGAGCTTTCTGCCTGATCTTCACCCCAAAGGCAGATTCTCTCTTTTTCAATGCCTGCACACATGTTATTTATTTATTTTTGGTTAACGTTTAAATTGAGGTTTTGGCTGAAACTCAGCCTGTGCGCACTTGAAAAGTCAACAGGCTCATTGGGCAGCCGATAAAGCTCTTGGGATTTCCCCGCGGGGCTGCGGAGAGTACAGACAGGAAGCCTGGGGACCCAGCGCCTGACCAGAACTTCCTCGGGGGAGGTTGCAGGGGAGCAGGCGCATCCTGCACAGAACGCTCTAGAGCGCGCAGGCCAAATCAGCAGCCTGCTCGACACGTGCTGCAAGAGGGTCCCCTACCCGGAGGACCGGACCCTGTGGGCATGAAGGGGGAGGGGGAAGCTTCCCCTTCAGCCCTCCCCCCTGGAGAGAAGCTGACACTGCCAGGCTGGAACCTTCCATTCTGGCCCAGCCTCTTCCTCCCTCGCTGTGCCGAGGGATCTAGAAGGGACTTTCCAGAGAGGGTTAGCGTGCAGGGTGTGGAAATGGAATAAAAGCATATGCAAATAGGCCTTAGCTGCCTTCCCCTACCCCAGCGAATAAGAGTCTTTCTCCAGAAAGATGCTCTTTCTCCAAGATGCTTGACCGCTCTTCCTTCCCTGGATGGCAGCAGCCTGGGGCGGAAGCCATACCAAAGGGATGGGCAGGATGGACAGGAGACAGTAGCACAATGAGGAGGGGGAGAACGGCAGCTGAATTGGAAATGATGAAATAAAATGAAATGTTAAGAGCTCGCTGTGAGTATGAGCTGGGAAAAAATAATCATTGCAAGCTGATTTATTATGTACTTATCTTCTGTCTGAGAGGCAGCAGGCTTTTGTACAGTGGATTATTGCAAAGTAAATGACACATTAAAGATATAATCAAGATGTTTAAGGCATATTGAAATGACATTAGAATTAAAGTAGGTGAGACTTTTGTCATGGTCTAGAAATATAAAAATGTCAGTGACTTGGAGAGATTTCCAGTGCTTTAGTAAAGATGCGGCTTCATTTCCAAAAGGGACATATTTTTAACCTTTTGTTATTTTCAGGGTGGGGTGGGATAGAGCGGGGCCAGGAAGTAGTTTAGAATCTCTATGGATGATAAAATAATATACTTTAAATCCTGGAGTCGTAGACCGTGGTCTCTATTTAGCAAGTCATAAACTTTATTGCAGTGACACCAGCATGAAAATATTGCACAGTAAATATGGTTCGCTTAGAATTCCGGGCTGGGGGATTATGGCTATTACTTTTTGTTTATTGTGTTCCTATTCTTTATCTCAATCCTGTCTTTATCTCAATCCTGTCTTCAGTTAATTTCAGAGTTTTGATGTGGAGCTGAACATGTTTTCTATTTTTTTAAAGAATCTTTTTTACACACTGAACCTGACCTGTATATTAATTGGCAAACAGTGTCACTTTTCTTTCTTGATGCCTTGATGGGTTTAATTATTGTATTACTGTATTTTCTTGTCATTTAGGACCTTCACATTGTGTCCTTTATTTCTTTTCTTTTCTTTCTTTTTTGAGATGGAGTCTTGCTCTGTTTCCCAGGCCGGAGTGCAGTGGCGTGATCTCGGCTTACTGCAACCTCCGCCTCCTGGATCCAAGCAATTCTCGTGCCTCAGCCTTGAGAGTAGCTGGGATTACAGATTCACACCACTACACTCAGCTAATTTTTGTATTTTTAGTAGAGATGGGGTTTCGCCATGTTGGCCAGGCTGGTCTCGAACCCCTGACCCCAGGTGATCCTCCTGCCTCGGCCTCCCGATATACAGTGTCCGTTATTTCATTTGTATGCCCTGGTTCTGCTTTGATTTTGACCCAAACCCTTCTGAGGGTAGCATTCTGCTGACATTTTATCCCCGTTATTAACAATGGGTTTTTGGACAGAACTGGCTTCTTTTTGTTTTGTTACTGTTTTTAAAATCATATTGCCGTCCTTATACATAATACTCCTTGGAACAGAAAAGCAGCAGTGTAAGCAGCTCTTTGAGAGAGAGAAGGTGGACTTTGGTGGACTCTGGGGGTCATGCAGGGTGTTTGGAGTTGTTGCACTGTTAGCTTGTGGAGCGGGTGGTGTTCCATCTTCAGGATTCCATGAGGCCAGGCCTGAGATGGGGTGAGGAGCTGACTGGATGGCCCCTGGTGATGCCTTCCTGGGGCCTCTTCTGGTCTCCGAATTCCTAGAGTCCCACCTTCTCCAAAGGCTCAGTGGGAATCAGATGCATTCACTGCTTCAGGTCTGTGTAGTCTTAGGCTCTCAGTGGAGGTATTTGGGCTCAACCTGTGGTAAATATTTGTTTTCCTTGGCTGTCAAATCTATAGTTTTGGGTGTGGTTCCTAAAAGCCAGCTTTTGGGCACTTTTTGAGCTGCAACAGTGATTCCTCCTTTCAGTCGTTCTACAGTCTGGCGAAAGTCCTTATTTTGTTCTGGGCTTCAGTCTTATTTAATAACAAGAGAAAACCTTTATTTTTAACAATAACTTAGGAATTATTTTTATGACTTACACTTTGTAACACATTTTAATTTGTCATTTCATGTAATTATTTCATTAAATTTGTAAGGTTAGTAGAAATAGTAGAATTGTCCCTAAACACATAATGGGAACTTATTAAATATTTGGTAAATGAATGAATTGAATCCATTTCACTGCTAAGGAAATGGAAACTCGAAGAGATCAAATGATCTCTCTAAGGCTCCACTGTCCAGTCGGGACTCACATCTGATTTTTTCCATGCCAGACTGACTCTGATATGATATCTTACATACTATTTGTTACTCTTTCTCTGAGATCTTAGAAAGGTCCTTTGATTTTCGAAGACAAGATAATAGGACAATGCAAATGTATGGATATACCATCAAAGGGGTGGAAGGGGTGGCTGAGGCCTGTCTACCGCTCTGTATAGTTCTTTCCTACGTTCCTGACTCTGCTAAAAACTTACATCCTTAAGGATATGACTATTTAGATACATTCCTTGTTGGAGATAAGAACACAAGTTCATTGCTGAATCATGGTTTGTGTGTGTGTGTGTGTGTGTGTGTGTGTGTGTATATATATATATATATATAAGAGCGTACAAGTTCATGGTAAAAAAATGGTCATCTTGGAGTTTTAATATTTTTTGGAAGTTTGGGCATAAAACTCTGCACATCTCAGGGGAAGTTCATTTCAGAGTTTTGATGTGGAGCTGAACATTTTCTCTAGCTTTGTCTCTTGGGGTACTGGAGGGAGTCATGTAGTGCCGCCATTTTGGGGTAATCCTGGCGTGTAGGAATCAGCAGTCACTTGGCCTACAGTCGTCATTACCATCTGCCCCCACTGCTGGAGGAAATGTCACCCGTATCAGTTCAGACATTAAAATAATAAGAAAAGAGCCAGTTGTTCTAGCCAAACCCAGAATTAGGCTTTAGGGTCACACCTATGTCCCAATAACATCCATCAGCTTGCCAGAGATGTCCTTTAACTGGGGACACCAGGAACAGAGAGAAGGAAGGGAAATTTCCCTGTTAATTCCAAAGCTAATTAGAGAGGAATGCCAAATGGGTATTCCCCCAAGGGCCTTTCGCTTTGACTTCTGTAACTCGGGATTCAAAGCTTTGGCTCTGGATTATCTCCCGGAGAAAAGCTGCAGAAACAACTCTGGTAACTTCTTTACTGAACTGATCTTATTTGCTGCTCCAATGTGCAATTACATTGCCACACAGATCGTCTCAAACCTGTCAGTCTTTTTTGCAGTGGTTTTTATGTCTCGTTGAGAAAGGATGACCTCAAGTGAAGATTGTAAAGATTTACTTTTATATTTGCTTTTGAAACTTCTATAGTTTTTGTGGCTGTCACATTATTTGCATTTAGCTTCATCATCCATCTGAAGTATATTTTTGTGTATGAGGTAAGCCGGATCTGATGTTCATGTTTTCCTCTTTAGGTACTAGTTTTTCCTCTACTTTTTTTTTTTTTTTAAATAAAATTTTAGCTTTAGGATAGTTTTAGATTTATAGAAGCATTGCATAGACAGTACAGAGAGTTCTCGTACACTCTGCTCTCCTGCTTTTTGATTTGTTCCTGTGCTTTGAAAGGGTATTTTTACCTGGTCCTCAATTCCAGCATGTATACAGACAACTTTCTACAATCTCATTTTTATTCTATTGGTGATTTGCTATTTCTGCTCCAATGTCACATGTTTAATTATTATTTCTAGAGATTTCATAGCTTTTGCTAGGAAGTCTGAGATCTCACAGAGCTTTTAAGAGGTCAAATTCAGCCTTCAGGCAAGTGAAATAATATCAACTCTGTAGTTGTTGCTGCTGAGGTAACCTGCCAAGAAGTAACACAGCTGCTACATAGGGAAGGGAGATGCTCTCTGGGCACGAGTTTTGGACACAATAGCAAGGAACAGGCTTTGGAGTAGGGTTTCTTCACCTCAGTACTATTAACATATAGGGACTAAAAGTTCTTTGCTATTGTGGGGTGCTGACCTGTACATTGTAAGATGTTTATCAGCATCTCTGGCCTCAACCTGCTAGATGCCCCCCAATTCGTGACACCTCGAAATGACAACCAACTCATGGCAATCAAAAATATTTTCAGACACTGCAAATATTCCTAGGAAAGTTAAGCCTTCCCTCCTACCCCCCCTGCCTCTCCAGTTGAGAACCATTGCTCTGGAGCCAGCCTATCTGAGTGTTAACCTTGGCTCTACTGTTTAATAACCGTGTGCCTTCATTTTGTCAACAAAAAATAGCCAAACTCTGTAAAATATTTGAAGAGATTTATTCTGAGCCAAATATGAGTGACCATGGCCTGTGACACCGCCCTCAGGAGGTCCCGAGAACATGTGCTGAGGTAGCCCAGGTTTATACTGATTTTATAAATTTTTGGGAGGCATGAGACATCAGTCAAATACATTTAAAAAATACATTGGTTTGGTCCAGAAAGTGGGGGCAACTCAGAGTTGGGGGCTTCCAGGCTATAGGTAAATTTAAACATTTTCTGTTTGACAGTTGAGTTTTTCTAAAGACCTGGGATCAACAGAAAGTAATGGCTGGGTTAAGATGAAGGATTGTGGACACCCAAGTTCTTATTTGGAGAGGAAGCCTTTAAGTACTAGGGTTTAGAGAGAATAGGTTGTAAAACTTTTTTTTTTTTTTTTTTTTTTGAGGCTGAGTCTTGCTCTATTTCCCAGGCTGGAGTGCAGTGGCACGATCTTGGCTGACTGCAGCCTCCACCTCCCGGGTTCAAGCGATTCTCCTGCCTCCGCCCCCGAGTAGCTGGGACTACAGGCAGGTGCCACCACACATGGCTCATTTTTGTATTTTTAGTAGAGATGGAATTTCACCATGTTGCCCAGGCTGGTCTCGAACTCCTGACCTCAGCTGATCTGCCCACCTCAGCCTCCAAACGTGCTGGGATTACAGGCATGAGCCATGGTGCCCAGCCAGTAAGATATTTCTCATCAGACTTAAAGTCTGTGTTGATGCTAATGCTGGAGTGATAGAATGAGGCATGTTTGACCCACTTCTCATCATGGCCTGAAACAGTCTCTCAGGTTACATTTTAAAAGAGCCTTGGCTAAGGAGGAAGTCCATTCAGATGGTTGTCGGGGAGGGCCTTCAAATCTTGTTTTTGGTTTACAATTTCCTCCTGTGTAAAATGCTGACAATAGAGGTTCCTATCTCCTAGGATGGTCATGAGGGCCAAATGAGCTAATTAATCACACGAAATGTTCAGAACAGACTCTGGTAGACAAGACCTGAGCTCAGTATTAACTGTTACATTATTTAAAAAATCCTTTATATTTGATCTCACTCCTGATTATCCCATAGACTTTCCATTTTCCCTACACCTTCGTATCTTCTCCACAGTGGAACAAATATGTTTAAATCACAACAATATGCACCAAAACATTATATGTCTATGTTAATGAAATGGAACTCTATTTTTAGGGCTCTGTAACTGCTAATTAATCAGCTCCCATGATAAACTCATCTGACTGTGTGTGAATTTTATTTGCAGCTGCGGAACAGTAATTCCAGTTAGTTTACAGGCCTTTAAGTGACAATCCAGCTCTTTGGAGCAGGAGAAAGGCCCAGAAATGATTTTCTGAGCAAGATGGTAATGACAGTGGGAGATAAAAATCTGGTTAAGGAGAAGACTGAGGATTTACTTGATTCATTAACTTAATGGCTTTGGGAACGCAGTGTTCATTTACTGTTAAAACACACCATCATCTTGCAATTCAGAGGGGGACGGATGAAGATTTGTCTTCGAGCAATTCATGTTACTTAGTCACCCAGAATATTTTTCTTCTGTTTTGCTTTTTGAAGCAGCAGCTATTGTACTCTGTGATTCTTTTTTTTTTTTTTTTTTTTTGAGATGGAGTTTCGCTCTTGTTACCCAGGCTGGAGTGCAATGGCGTGATCTCGGCTCATCACAACCTCCGCCTCCTGGGTTCAGGCAATTCTTCTGCCTCAGCCTCCCTAGTAGCTGGGATTACAGGCACACGCCACCATGCCCCGCTAATTTTTTGTATTTTTAATACTGATGGGGTTTTACCATGTTGACCAGCATGGTCTTGATCTCTTGACCTTGTGGTCTGCCCGCCTCAGCCTCCCAAAGTGCTGGGATTACAGGCTTGAGCCACTGCGCCCAGCTGCAGCAGCTATTGTAAAACCATTATGTTTGTTATTAAGCTTGCCTGGGAGCCTTTCTCCTGGGGATGATTATTTCTAATGCATAAGAGCTGGTTGAGGATAGCAGACATGGGCTGTCTCTACCTTTGTCCTAAAGGCTCAATTCCTTCTTCCAGTGAAACCAGCTCTTGGTTTGACGAAGAGAAGGAAGTGCCTTGGCCTGAGCAGTGGGGACTAGAGTCAGGCTCATTAGATTAATAACTTGGTGATGCTCACTTAATTCACTTAGTATGGCAGAGTAGTTGGAAGCCTGGGTTCTGGAGGCAGAATGATTAAGCTGAAAACCTAGTTTCTTAACTTGCTAGGTGTGTTGCCCTGGGCAAGCTGCTGAACCTTTCTGAGCCCAATTTTTCTCATTTATAAAATGATGGTGATCATTTTACAGTCAACATCACTTTATAATCAATCAATTTATGATCATTTTATAATCAATCATCACTAAATATTCATAATAAATAATAAATAAACCTCACAGTTTTATTCTGAATTTTTAGTGAAAGAATTCTTTTAGCCTAACATGTAATAAGCATTTAATATATCTTAACTATGATGATAACTGTTATTATTCATTTGAATCCCTCCCATGAACCAGGCATTGTAACGATAGAGGACACATCCAGATCAAATAAGACATTTTGGGCTGCCGAAGAGTTTATTTCCTGGAGATTGGAAGGAGAGGGTTGTTTCCACAGAGGTAAGCATCTAAGGCTGTGGAGTGGGGAGGGAATTGGAGAAGCTCTTTGGGAGGTGGTGACCTTTACGGAGGGAGACCCAGAGACTGGTACCTTAAAAGCTACAAGGGGAATGGACCTCAGACATAGGCAGGGCTCATTCACATAGAGACAGAATGTCCAGACCACGGAAACAGGGATGTGGAACTTAGAATATTCTCTCCAACCCCAGATAGAAAGCAGTTACCAAGTTGGAAATGTATAGGTTGGAAGACCTGAGAGAAATGTATTGCCTGTTTCTGCTTAGTGAATCTAGCTATCAGTTTCTGCGACTTTAAGCATGTTTTGCGTTAGGCATCTGACTCCCAGCCGACTGGGCCCCAGAGCCTAGAAGTGCCCAGCACAAGGTGCATGGGCAATTATTTGTTTGGCTATTTGTGTTTAGTAGCATTTCTTTTCACCTTGCAGGAACTCACCTCTGGGTTATAAGGGGAATTTGTTTTATGGAAAGGGATAGGAAAGTTCAATACTGGAAGATCATCTTATAGCTTCTTCTTGGCAAAAATTTGTTGACCCAAAAGTATTTCCAGGCTTGCTGCAGCTTTCCTCCTAAGGCAGTGCAGAGATCTAAATGAGATAATTATGCAGACTATTTAAAATTTTTTTTTTTAAAAATAAAGTACTACATTAGGTATTACATAATTTTTTTTTATAGCTAGCATATAAAGCAATTTGGGTATATTTCCTTTACACCTTTTGAGAATGAACTGAAAGACCAGGATTAATTTAGCTTTGAATGGATATCAAATCTGTAAACTTATATTAGGTAGGTCTCTCTTTTTTTTTTTTTTTTTTTTTTTTTTTTTTTTTTTGAGACGGAGTTTCGCTCTTGTTACCCAGGCTGGAGTGCAATGGTGCGATCTCGGCTCACCGCAACCTCCGCCTCCTGGGTTCAGGCAATTCTCCTGCCTCAGCCTCCTGAGTAGCTGGGATTATAGGCACGCACCACCATGCCCAGCTAATTTTTTGTATTTTTAGTAGAGACGGGGTTTCACCATGTTGACCAGGTTGGTCTCGATCTCTCGACCTCGTGATCCACCCGCCTCGGCCTCCCAAAGTGCTGGGATTACAGGCTTGAGCCACCGCGCCCGGCTAGGTAGGTCTCTCTTAAAGTCTCTCATATTGAAAACCAGTTCCTTTATTCTAACTCTGTATAGCAAGAGTGAAGTACCACACTAGTATTTTTTTTTTTTTCGGGTGAGAGCTGGCAAAGTCATATTTATAACAACTTTTGTGTTCCTTTATAATTTTCCCTTATATGGCAGGAAAAATACGTAAAAGGAAAGGGGGCGAATTCTTGGAAATGGAAGCCAATAGTTTCTCTGTCACAATGCACCATGACCAAATGAGGTATGGGATTTCTTTTCATAGGACAAGTTATGCATTTGCCCAACAGAGTTGCACAACAGGACTCTGTCTTAAAAGAGAATTCAGTTTTTTATTGATCTAAAGCAACTACAATTTTCCTGGGCTGTGCACTGGGGAAATGATCATAATGGATAGAGCAGTCATGTTGACAAATGTAGATGCTCGGTGGTTAAAAGACCTTCATATTGCTCTTTAGTTTTCATGTTTTCTGACTGCAAATCTCGTGAAGTTGATAAAATGGCTCATACCACAAAGTATGTCCTGGTAAACAGGAGGCAATGACTTTGCTGCGTTGCTGTGTCTTGTTCCCCATTCTGGCTGAGGAATGGCTCCGGCTGTGCCGTTTAAGTTGATTTTGGCTCGGCTGCTTCAGCGGCATAGGAACAAATGAGTGCCACACTGGAGATACAGACTCTGAAGAACTGGAGGTTTGAGGGCCTGGGTGACCAGGGACAGGTGGGGGGTTAGGGACAGCAAGGGGACCAATGGCTCGCCATTCAGATCGTCACCTGCGTGATATCCAGCTTTCCATGCAATGCAGGGACTGGGAGATTATGGGAGGTTATCTGAAAGATACTGTGGCTTTCGAAACAGAGTGTGTCAGTCAGTCAGAGGATGGGAAAGAGGGGAAAATGACTGAGGATGGGAGGGGAGCTTTCAGAGGGCAGAGAGAAGGAGTGGCTAATCATAATAAAAGCATGAAATTTGTTATTATAAAATAATGACTCCATAAGTGTTTTCTAATTGTCTACCACGTACCATGCACTGCTGCCATGGGATGAGGTTAGAAGAGGCGGAAAATGTGATCTCTGCCTTTGAGAATTTCACAGTCTCACAAGATTTTCACTAATGGGTGCAAGACCCCGCAGGATCACATGTTAAATTGTGTGATTGGATGACAGATGTGTGGGACGATTTCTTACTCTCCTTCCAGCTGTTTTCCACATTCGACCAGAATATTCAAAAACATGCAACCTGGATCACATTTCTTCCATTTCCTCTGTCTTCATTTAAGGTCAACTCCAAATTTCTCAGCAAGGCCAACATGAATTGGTTCTTGCCTGCCTGGGGCTCCCTCTCCTCATGCCATCCCTAGTCTCGTTATTGACCTCAGCAGAGGGGTCCGTCTCCATCCCCACCAGCGTGCTGGTCACATCCTGTAACTGTTTGGTCATTCTGTTCCGTGCATCTGGGATTCCCTTTTACCTGGTCTTCAACAGACCGCTGTCTACTTATTCTTTAAGGTTTCTCCTTAAATGTCATTTCTTTCCAACTACCAGGTGCTTCACAGAATCTTGAGCTTTTATCGCATTTGGATTAACTTTTTTTTGTGATTATCAGTGAGATTTCAGCCTCTCCTGTGTGATGATCTCCATGGATCATGCTGGTCCTGTCTGTGCTGCAACACCAGCATCTAGCACAGGAGCGACACACACAGCAGGTGCTCTGTCAGTCAGTGATGGGTGAATGGATGAGCAAGGAGAGGCTCTACTGGGGTGGTGCAGTTGTCCTTTCAGAGCATTTCGTTGCTTCTCCTGGAGTGCTTGGTATGTTGAACTTAGCATCCTGTTTGTCTACCCTCACACACTGGTAAGCTTCCAGAGGGCAGGGATGGGATGATCATCATCTTTTCATCTCTAGCACCTGGATCACATAGGAACTCAGTGCAGATTATAGGGTGAAGGAAAGAATAAACTGTATGAATGGAGGGGGTCTTATCTGGGTTTTAAAGCATGCCTGGGGATGAGGGTGAAGGAAGAGTGAATTTAAGGATCCAAAATAGCAGTGGGAACTGGGATACAAAACAAGATTAAGACGGGGACTTTCAAGGGCTGGTCTCGAACTCCTGACCTCATGGTCTGCCTGCCTTGGTCTCCCAAAGTGCTGGGATTACAGGCATGAGCCACCGCACCTGGCTGGGTTTTGTTTTGTTTTAAAGCTGAAAATCTGCATTAGAAAAATACCGGATAGTCACCAGACACAGCATGACAGGATGTACTCACACTACAAAGATTGGAGGGTTGAGTGGGGAGGAGGCTTGGAATTTCCCCAGCTGAACTTTATACCTTGAACAACGTCTGTCTTTCAGAGCATGCTGCTCTCCTCAGGAGTTTTATCCATTCAACAAATTTTTATCAAGCACCGATTCCTTCCTTGGGGGAGATATGCCTCCCTTCGAAGAGTGTGAAAACTGGCCCTTAAGGGGTGAAAAAAACCTCCTCTTACTCTCTTTATGTGTAAAGCACAAACATACATATAGTATATCTGTAGTGTTAACATTTCATAGTAGAGGGGGATTAGGAAAAAGAAAAGTCTGAAAAGTTTCCTTAGAAGGATGATAATGAAAAAAACATCGAGAAACTGATCTATGCTGTGCCAGGCATTCTTCTGGTTCAAGTACCCACTCCCATGAAGCTTTCATTCTTACGAGGCAGAAGGGCAGTAAACAAATAAGCAACAATAACTGTGAACTAATAAATTCTATGAGGCAGAAAAGCAGGCAAGGGGCTGGAACGTTTGGGGGATGGGTGGGGCATGTCTGTAGTTCCTTTAGGTAGGGTGGTGACAGATGGACTCTGATGAGGGGATGTTTGAGAAGAGTCTGGAAGAAGTGAGAGGTGAACAGTGGAAATATTTTGGGAAAGAGCATTCCAGGGAGAGGTAACAGCTTGGTGTAATTAGGAAAAGCAAGGAAGCCAGGTGGGCAGGAGTGGATGGGTGAGGGAAGGATGGTGGAAAATGAGGTTGGAGGTAGAGGCAGGAATCAGATGACGTGGGGTCTTGTAGGCCATGCTGAAGGGTTTGGGTTTTTTCTCTGTGTGATGGAAAGCTGCTGGAGAGCTTTATGCAGGGGAGTGACATGATGTGATTTATTTCTCTTTTTTTTTTTTGAGATGGAGTCTCACTCTGTGTCCCAGGCTGGAGTGCAATGGTATGATCTCAGCTCACTGCAACCTCTACTTCCCAGGTTCAAGCAATCTTCCTGCCTCAGCCTCCTGAGTAGCTGGGATTATAGGCACCTGCCACCATGCCCAGCTAATTTTTATATTTTTGTAGAGACGGGGTTTCACCATGTTGGGCAGGCTGGTTTTAAACTCTTGACCTCAGATGATCAACCTGTTTCAGTCTCCCAAAGGGCTGGGATTACAGGCATGAGCCACCACAACTGGCCTCTTTTTTTTTTTTTTTAATAGTTTAAATTCTGGGATACATGTGCAGAACATGCAGGCTTGTTACATAGATATACATATGCCATGGTGGTTTGCTGCACCCATCAACCCATCACCTAGGTTTTAAGTCCCGCATGCATTAGGTATTTGTCCTAATGTTTGAGTTACCCTTGCCCTCCACCCCCCCAACAGGCCCTGGTGTGTGATGTTCCCACCCCTGTGTCCAACAGCTTGGCTGAACAATGAGAACACATGAACATAGTAGCCGGGCTTAGGAAAAAGAGAAGTCTGAAATAAGGTCCCTCTGGCTGCTATTTGGAGGGTGGACTGCAGAGGCAGGAGTGGAATCAGGAGACCTCATTGTTGCAGATCTCTTAGGTGGGAGCTGATGGTGGCTTGAGTGAGGGTGAACAGTTAGACTCTAG